ATGTAAAACTTGGAAATGTATAACTGAGTTGGTGATGCGGATTACAATGTTCTATTATCTTGAAATACAATTCTTTTTTCTATGACTTGTTTCTAAATATTCCTGGCTGTCGAGAATGTGTACTTCGGTTGTAGTTCGTTTAAAAATATTGCGTACCGAATAATCAGAAAGAAAGATCATGATATTTATTTGCAGCTACTGAGTTTTTCTATGATGCAAAACCTGTCGCACTCAAGCTAACACCATGCTGTTTTGTCCTAAGATTTTCTCTCGTTGCGTTGCCCTCAGCAATGCGAAACTCGGGTGATATTGTGAAAGATAGATTATCTCATGATCCCATATAAATGAAACGAAATAAATAAAAATAAACACGACGGCTGACTGTCTAACAATTTATAATTTGACCTAATTACTATTATTGATATTTGAAGTAAATAGTCCTTCACTTATTTATTCAAATCATTTCATCAGAGAAATCTCAAGTTCCTCAATTCCAATAATATATAGCTCACTTTAAAGGTATTGAAATCATTTCTAGTTGCATTCAGTCACTTTTTATGGTACTAATACACTTTCGTTGAATATTCTCTAGAGTATTGTGACGTTTAGCTCTCGATACGGATTATAATGTTATTACGAGATGAAATCTTTGAAAGTTCTCAAACTCTCTTGGAGTTTTGAAGTCTGAACTTTCACTTTGTTAGTGAGCACACATAAACGAGTTGAAGAAACCAAGCTCAGGTAACCCTTAGAACGTTATGGATACTACTCCTAGATAAATTTTTAAAAATTACAGGTATTAGTCTGAGACAGCCTCTCAAAAAAATATGAGTAGATGGCTGGCTTTGAATCTAGTTGTTTTTACTAGAGAATCGTTCAAATAAATCAGACTGTAAACGATAGCTGTTCGATCACGTCAGTTTTTGTGAAAAGAATTGTTTCAACAGATCATTAGCTCATTTGGCATCAACTTTGAACTGGAGTTGTCATAGGCTTAAAATTACTAATTTTCTTTTCTCCGAATCATTGTGTAACACTTTTGAGAAATAAATATTCCTAGAAGAAAAAAGTAGCATGAAATTGAGCTTCATTAACAAATATCTTTAATAACACAACTATATTTTACATCTTCCAATCTAATCTAATCACATTAGATTATAGTTCGTTGTATAGTAGTCTTAGACGAGAAAAGAGTGCTGTAAAGGTATTAGGTAGTAGTATATATCTTTCGCCCAACTACCTATGCCGTTCTCTTTCTTTCCTATACTTATGTGCTATTCTTTTCGTTATTCATCATCTATGAGATTTTCTAACCCATGGATCTTTTCCTTTGTTGTGCCTATACGTATAGTTGCCATTGAATTTTGAAAAGAGGAGAAAAAAAGAATAAAGAAAAGGAGAGTAAAATTTAAGCCTAAAAAAGGGAATAATGTAGATAAAAGTGGATCCCAGCTCAATTTTAAATCCATCTATTGCTTTCAGTACCGAACCCAAACCCAAGCGTATTTGACCAAAATTACTCAACTCAAAATATCTGTGTTTGGCGCGTATCTACTATCAAAATCAAATACCTTGCATGCTTTGCAACATCTGACTTTTCTATATATTCATTGATTTTCTTCAATGAAAACTCATAAATAATTATTCTGATAATTAATTTGAAGTAGAGATCATAAAAATTGCTTGTGACCATGGATGTTTATCCGTTTAACCAACAGCTATGGTGTACGAATATAAAATAGTTTAAACGAGCTTAAAACACATAGGACTCCACGAAATTAGTTTTAGTTTTCACCGTTTAACTTTCTGTCGAAACATTAAAATTGTAAATTAAAAAAAAATAACAATAAAATAAAAAACAAGGGTGCTTTTATTCAACTGAAAGGTCACCGATGAGAGTATAATAAATCTTATAACGTAGCTTTCCTCTGTAATACCTAGATTTTGTATTTTATCAGAAACGAACTTGCATTTTTTCACGAAAACAAGAAATTTTTCATAGAATGATAAATTCGTTACAACTGATTCGGAGATCTGTTATTCACTTTAATGTCATCGTAAGCGTTACACTGAATTACGAGCTCAATCGCCGCAGTTCATAGTTTTTAATCACTTTACTACTCTAACTCGAAGTTAGTTGACAGGTTAAACAGTGAACTCACACTTTTTGGAAAATATATGGCTACACACTTGCGTCAAAACTGATTTTGATTATAGCAAGTGAAAAATCTAATGCACTGTTGAATCGATATCAACCCACAACTAGCATTACGACAGCCATATACGACCGTATATTGCTGTATTACTTGTCGTCAGAATTGCGACCGTAAATCGTCGTGTCGTATACGACTACTGTAAACGATCGTATACAATGTCGTTTGTCATTGTATTCCACATGAAATTTTCACATCTCTTTTTCCTCTCACGCTCTTCAAATAGTAAAAAACTAATATTTATGGTGCCCAGTCTGGCTGGAGGTCCCGATTCTTTTTTTCTCATGCAGCATCGATGATATATAAAAAAAAAATTGCTATTTTTGTATAACTCATAATACAATCATATTTTTTTGATAAATCATCAACGCCGCATGAGAAAAAAGGAATCTGGACCTTTAGCCAGACGGGACACCCACATTTGTCTAAATTAATATTTATCCTTCGATTTATCGTTATAGCTAATCCAGAGATAAAAAATGCAATTTTTTTTTAATAAATTAATATCTATCCTTAGATTTATTGTGCTACATAATCTAAAAATAAAAATAAAATTTTTCTAAACTAACACTTACTACATCACCCAGGAAATTATTTAATAGTGTCTTTGTTGGTATAATGTTTGTACAAAATGTTTCTTTGACTAGTTATATAAAAATATATACGATAACCAATACATCCGTTATTATACAAAATCAAGTATTAAAAAAGTCAAGATACATCTCCACATTAATATATGTAATAAAAATAAAATCTTCAATGCGATAGATTGAAAAAGTCACCTTTTTAGTCAAGCATCTCTATATTATTTTTTCATCAATATTACCAATGAGTTTACTTTTTTTTGTCTATGAAACATGCAAGACAGCATTTTTCAGCAAAGAGCCTAGAACAAAACTTTTAAAAAATTGTCTACACGTACCCATCACTATAAATATAACAAAAGTCTAACCAACTCATTGTTAATAATTAGAAAGCATATTGCACGAAGATCATGCGAAGTGGAAAAAATAAAACAAATAAATAATTTGTAACAAGAAGTGACACATATATATAACACTATCAAGCTATCTTGATATATACGAAAAAATTACACGACCAGAAGACAATCGTATGCAACCGTCATTTATGATGGTCGTATTCACTGGTCCTTTACGGCAATCGTATATAGTCGTACTGAATTGTATATTTTTGTATACAATAGTATACGATCGCACATTTTAAACTTTGAAATCAAAAAGTTTTTATTGCCAAATTATGTATTTCCTTCAAATATAAGTTTTAAAATTTTCATCAGTGAATAAAACGATTGTTATAGGTAGAGCTCGATCACAGGAATCGATCGGTATCAAGCTCAATTGTGCCTGCCAACAGAATAAAATTACAACTGCTGGTTGTGAGGTGTGGTTGCATAAAAGATTCTTCCTCATTGTTATCCTTAGATCCACCTACTGACATTCACCCTAATCACTCACATCTGCATATCACAGACTTGTCAATCGAAAAGAAACAGGGATGTAATTAAAAAAAAACTTTATGTAAGATACTCAGTCTGCAAAGATTATTCGACGACATTAGGACAAAGAATATTTTCCATTTGTGAAGATTGACAAAGATAAATGTAACGACAAACTAACGGTGTAACTTACTGCCATCCTTGATAATGATATTTATTGAGCTACCTCATATTTCTAGACTATATCTATCTCACATTTAGAATAGGCTTAAATAGGAGAGAGATGAACATAAGACAGAACAATAGAAAGAACGAAGGAAAAGAGTAATTGAGGATATGACTGAAATAGTGATATCGTTGTCGGCACAATAATAATTAAATAATCTCATATATTTTACAGATGCGTATTTACTCATTTTATTCGAATACAAATCAACAAGTATTATATGATAGTAGTATACTAGAAAGATAATCAATTTTTATTAGTTACATTAAAAGATTTACTACATATAGTTTATGAAATAGTTATGAGATCTTGAGAACAGTATGCGTAAAAATCTGACGTAGAATACTGTATCAGTTCGTCAAAATGTATGTTTTCTTTAAAAAAAATTTTTTTTGTTTTTGTTTTGGATACATGATCTATGTAATTTCAACTTAAAATATTAACGAACAGATATCACTTCGCCAATATCAATTATAAATAAAAATAGGTCTAATACTTGTTAAATTATCTCTCTTTTCATATGCTGTCATCTACGTAATATATATATATATTGAAATGAACATTTTTTTTTATTAATAAATATTGATAGATGGAACTGAAAATTGCAGTAAGAACAGGATTATTTAGGGATACCAAAAGCATTTCTATTTGTTTATGATGTTATCTATTTTGACACATTTTGAAATCTGAAATGAGAGAAGAAATCCGTTATTTTCGGAAGACCAGATGCAAAAAATTGTCTGATTTCCATTATAAGCTTATATCAAGTTTTTACAATATGTATTAATCATCACTAATTATATACTATATGGACAAATGAATTGTTATATCCCGTCACCCATTTACATATAAATTGGTTAATAATAACACTTTCTGATGCAATAAACAAAAATAAATGGCAAATAAGTTCGCAAATCTATATTCAAAGTAATAAAATAATAACCATAACTATACATCAACGTCGTCTGTTAGATTCTTTTTTAATAAAAAGTCGTCTCCAAAATCGTTAGTACCATGAACATGTATATTTCGTTTCTCTTTTGGACGACTGAACGAACTGCAAAGATAAATGATGATAGTAAAGAACTATATGTTGTTACTGAACTTACCAAGCAAGTCCCATTCGTTCGACGTCTTCGATCGTTTGTGGCAATGGTTGATTGAGTGTTTCGGGAAAAACTGTGGCGAGCAGCATGGCAAATAAAGAAGTAACTCCATAGACAACAATCGGAAAATGTTGCCAAGCTCGAGTCTAATAGAAATAATAATAATAATATGAACTTAAAATTACATTAATTTACCAAATGATCATTAGAAAATGTTCCAATGATTGCTCCAAGACGAGCAATCATTGAGCATACTCCCATTCCAGTATTGCGACCTTGTGTTGGAAATGTTTCATTAGCATATATGTAAATAATTACATATGAACCAGATGAAAAAAATTTGAGGGCACTATTTACTATGAACATAAGGATATATTGATCTGAAATAAAAATGAATCCAGATAAATGAATATAGTTGAATTATAAAAACTAAATACTTTTGCTATCTTTTGGAAAGACAATTTGAATTGGTATGACGAGCAATGCCGTGCATGAAAGTGCTACTACAAACAAACAATATGTTATTTTGCGACCCCATCGATCAAGTACTAGATGAACAACACAATAAGCTAATATTTCAACAACAGCACTAGCTCCAAACGCGATGTATGGATTTGGTAACCATGAACCTAGAATTGTCAAACGTTTTAATGTTGTCAGTAAAATCTATCTGATCAATTACCAGTATTTTGTGAAATACCATAAAAGACAAGATTTTGTACAAACCTAATATATGAGACAATATAATCATTATATAGTATTATACAAAAAGTCTTTGTCTATATATTACCATTGATATGACATATTCACAGCAATGATACCCATAACTTTTGAACGAAATAAGGCTTTACATCCATGATTCAAATTTTGATTAGCAGCTACTCTCTATTAAAAAATAGCAGAATAACTCAACAAAGATCAGTAATTTTATTTGTCTATTTACTTTTTTATCTTCTCTGACAAAACGTTGATAAAGTATTGGATCAAAATGTGTTTTATTCTTTTCAGCAATGTGATGAAAAATTGATCCAGCTTCATCATAACGTTGTTCAGAAATTAGCCATCGGGGACTTTCAGGTAAAATACTAAGGTCAACAATAAATAATATACAAAGATAAAAAGATAAAAAAGACGAAGATAAATAACTTACAAGTAGAAAAAGATAAAAGGTACAGGAACAACAGCAAGTACTGCGTTCAGTGTTCGCCATGTTCGAATGTTTAAAGCAAAACTCAAGAGTAATAGTTCACCCAGTGCAAAGAAATATTTAATGACAATACCAGCAAATAAACGTTGTTTTGGGCCAACTAACAATTAAATAAAAGATATTAATTACGATCAGCTATGATTATAGCAGCTGGCATTAGCCTACCTATTTCCGAACCTAAAATATTGAAAATAAAGCAAAGAATTTTTCATTCAGTTTATATATGCATTGTATCTAACAAAAACACATACCCATAACAAAACCAGTAATACTAATGCCACGTGTTGCACAAGCAAGTAAAAATCGACCGAATGCAAAAAATGGATAACTTGTTCCATGACCAATTAGATCTTCAGGTGCCAATGCACATACAATACCACCAACAAACATCAGTACAAATGAAACACCCATGATTAGTCGTCTTCCAAATCTTGAAATGAATTAATAGTAATTATAAGACAATGAGACAAAAAAGAAACTCAATTTACTTGTCGGAAAGTACACCAAAAACAAGTGAACCCACCATATAACCGACGAAAAAAACGATTTGAACAGTGCTCTTCAATGATACTCGATCACAGACCATTGACCACTAAAAATAATCGATATAATAACAAGTAAATTTTTATTTGAAATTAACACATCTACATGCTATTAAATTATCTAGTGTAGGTTATATGACAACGCTAGCAAAATTAATAAGAAGGCTAGTCAGTTTCATATTTAACTGCGTATAATAAACTGTACCATTTTTAATTGACTTTCGACATTAACTGTTATATTAACAAAATTTATATTAACTTACATCTTCAACGATTGTCGATTGATAATAAGTTCGATCAAAAGAAAAACTTCGGCATGGATTTAATTCACCGATACCACCATCATAATCACTATTATTTACAACTTGAAAACATCGTTGACATTCTTTTAAAGAAATACTTTTTTGACTTTCGCGGCATTGAATTTCACTTGGCATATAAGAAGATACTAGTTGATTTGTAAAATTGTTTGAAATGGAATCATGTAATGGTAGTTTGCATTGGAAAGGTGGTGTGGCAGCTATGAATGTCCAAGCATAGACCATAATTGGTGGAAGCAAATTGGTGCAACATAGTAAAAAGTATTTGATCTTTTGATATGGACCAAATACACCAACTGTCTCATAAAAATCATCAAACTGCATTTTTCCTGTTTGTGTATCACTACTGAAAGATTATGAATCGATATACTCAAAAAATATATATATGCTCAGGGTCCCTTTTTCTACACTGAGTCATATGCTTGTTTCTATTTCTTTTCTCGTCCTTTTTGCGTCTTTTTTTATCATGTAATACCTCATAAAAGTAAGAAGGGTAATTTGCTATCAGCTGACAATAGAAGCACGCGTACTGATTATGTTGTTGATGTGTGATATCCACCTCAAAGAACAGAGGACAAACCAGTATAGCTTTTGTTGATGTCACATTATTGCACGAAGACAAAGAAGAAAAAAAGCGATATTCTTGTCCTTGTTATATTCTTGTTCATATACACAAAAAAGCAATCGATTCATTTTTTTCATTTGTCTTATGCCAAGGTTTTCTTTATATGACAAATGATAAATTTTAGCCAGGTAATAAATATGTGAATATGATAATTCACTAGTCGTGGTTTTGAAAAGCAAGGTGCGTTTTGCCTTGATTTATTCCAAAGCCATCAATAGATTCAACACAATTTTGGTGTATATAGTTATCGTTTTTTTTTTTTCATTAACCAAATTTAGTTTATATTTTTCAAGTGAAGACAGCTGGTTTTTATTTGTTCTAATAATAGCAAATGGTACATATTTTTATTTTATTTTTGTATACATTGTAATGTTCGCAAACTAAACATATTTGTAACCTTCATCTTTGAACTGATCCTTTGATAAGAATAAATCTTATCGTTTAATGGACTTTTCAATTTTTGCTTTTGTTTTTATTACGACACACGTTGTCAACGTATCGTTACCATATAAACTATTTTGTGTTTTGTTCTTACTGCTTCTGCCCTTTATCCTTTTATTTTGCACTCGCAACAACATGCATTTGCTTTCTTTGATAACAGTAATTTGATATATATCGAAAACATGACGCTAAATCCTCAGTAATGAATTTATGTCTGTTGAATCTCGATATTTTTCAAAGTTTTAGAAAAATTGTTGTTACTATTTAAGAAATGTATTTAAAAATATTTGTAATTTGATTCTTTTTTTTTCTTTTGTATTTACAGACGCCTTGGAAAATACTGATATGTACTTTAATCGATCTCAGCTGGACATTTTACTATTGATCAATCGATTATTTTTCATCTTTGAAAGTTGCTTATAGGAGGAATCTATATAATTTTTAGTCATCTATAGTAAATATACTCAGTCAAAATAATTTCCGTCGTTACCACACTAAGGTCTACGTACTATCCAGTTACTACTAAGTATTTTTGTTACAATTGCGCATATAATTTATGTTATTTCTAATAATAACATCAGACATATTAACAATATATATGCTTTATTTTTATATTCAAGATCCAGTCTTCAAGCCTAATTGTTTGATAAATAATCGTTGAATTAGCACCTGGTCAGGAAATACCTAAAAGATAATCAAAAATTTTTTTCGCAAGAAAATCTAAGACATATAATACAAATTGACCAATGACCAAGTTTTGCTAATTAATTCATAAAGAAGATGTCAAGCTGACAAAGAACCACATCCCATAGTTTCTTGTAATGACTAATCTTGTGTACTATACACATTCTAACCGATTGTTTCAACTTAATAGTGTTTTTTTTCTATTGACTTATCCAACAAAGATTCATTTATTTGAATAAGAAAACTAATTAAGATGTAGACGATACAAAATAATAAAGTAGTATATATATTCTAAAGCTATTTGCTAATGGTTTGAGCATGATACCTTGATTATTTTATTTGAAATATCCGAGATAGACATTATCTCATCTATGATTAATTATCCAGGTGACGTATCTTGAAAATACACATATAGAAATAATGTAATGCTTTTCTATTCTTGAGAAAGAATAAACTAATATGTGCAAAATTAAAACAATTTCGAAAATCTATAAGCATTAGTCTATGGATAATAGTGTTATGTTCATTTCTGTCATCTAAATTGACGACAAGTATTGACATAATTAATGTACATTTATTAATATCATTTTTATTTTTTTCAAAGAAGTCTGAAAAGCTTTGAGAATAGTCTTCTAAGTCTTTAATAGAAAACTCTCATATTTTTTTCTTTATGCTGGAAATCAAGTTAAAAAGAATAATGTTTACAGTTTTTAACTGAACGTCTTCAGCCTGAAGAATTCTCGTGTCATTTGGTGCATGATAAACTCTAATTTTTATGTGTATATACGTTACAGTATGGTTAAGGACTAAGACATTCGTATCTAATCAAATGAAATTCACCGTAAATATTGGGATATGATATCAATACACTAATTCTATGTTAGTGATCAATTGAATAATTGTGTGCAAATATTCCAGACTATCAGCGGATGCAGTAAGTAAAATAAAATGTTCAATCTATTTGTATGTTTTTTTTCCCGAAAGCTTTGCAGACACCAGTTCAACTACAATAATCAGTGCAATTTCTAAATTTACTGTTGTATTATTATCTTTTTCGATTAGAAACATTGCAATTTCTTTATTTCTAAAATTATTAAAGAAAAACAATGCCTGATCGCTTCAACAATGTCAATTTCTAACTGCACTTTTTATAGATACATCTAGCCCATTAGCTTTGGAATATTCCAAAAGAACGAATATGTCAGATTCATTGTCAATGCAACATCGATAACGTTCACAATACAATATGTGACTATAGGTTTAAATTAAATTACTATATCAGTACTTCTCTCGTCAAGTTAATGGATAATTTGATCGTATTTATTTTATTAACCAGATGAAGATCTTGCAATGAAAACATCTTAGTTTTCATATAGTGATAGTGATGTACATTAATATTAAAAAACTTAAATCGAAAATTTAAGTTTAATGAAAAGAACTTCTACTAATATCTTCTTTACTTACTTCATCCTTAAAACTGTTTTCGTTTTTTTTTTCATTTTGTACCTTCTCAATCAACAGCATATAGTCTTATCTATGATACGTGTAACACAAAATATAACTGCAGATTTAGCATAACGATTCAACTTATACTTTACACCACTAGTAAGTCTTATAAATATTTCCTTTTCAAATACTATCGTATTTGTTTTGTTCCATATGATAAATGAAGTTTTTTAGTTTGGTTCTTAGTATTAATTAGGCGCTGAATGTTGATAATAATAAAAATAATAAGATACAGAGTTACTAATAAAGCTTCATCTTGTATGACAACCTAATCAACCCTTATGTTGATCTCACGATTGCATTTATGAAGTATAATTTATCCGCATAAGCAACTTATTTCTAAAAATCTATATCAAAACTTCTGTTGATTGGTTTTTAAATAATTTTCATCCATATGTATCTGCTTATTCTTGCTTTCAATATCATTTATCTATGATACAATTTTCCAAATTTAATGTGCGCTACTTGTTGTAATTCAAATCCTAATTTCTGCATCTTTCTTCGTCCATATCTGAATACTCGGACTGTGATGGAAAACCGATTGGTAGAAAGCAACTATAAGTTTTAATATGTTCAAGGCCTTAATGAAATTGATGAATATGTCAACAATTCATAGATTTTCGACACGAGAAGTCTTGTCTTCAATTTATTTACCAAATAGTATTAGGTTGAAAATTTATCCAATAGAGAAAAATATATTGAAACGTCAGCTACAACTCTAAAGAATCTATGCGATTTCTGATTTATAAATAAAAGCAGTCAATAGCCAGTTAACTTTTAAACTAATGTCACATGTGATACTTTGGATGTTTGTTTCTCACAATATCTTGACTATACGTGTCAATATCTAGATGGTTTCTATTATGAGTGTACTCAAATATGAGATGATCGCAAGCCATCTGTACAGTTTGAATAAAAAAAAATGGCTAAGCTTATATCTTCCAGAATTCTCAATCAAATTCAACAATTTTATCAGAAAATATCCTTCACATGTGTCACTAGTTTGGCTGCTAAAATCAGCCCTCTAGCTATTATTTGTCACTAGAAAGCGCGAAAATGNCATTAACATCACTATCTGTTGTTACACCACTTTGACGATCTTTACATGTATATTTTCCAGTATCATTTAATTCTGCTTTATGAACTATTTAAAAACAAAAAAAAAACGTTGTTATTTTCTTTGTTTTTTACTATAAAAAAAAAGAATATTAACCTTTTAATTGTCTTATTGGACCATTGTTAATAATTTCAAAACGAGGAGTATTATCTTCAATAAGATCATCATCTAAATACCAATCAGTTATTTGTTTAGGATTATTAACTTCACATTCAAGAATAAAATCATTATCTTCATCAACATTTAATTTATTAGGAAGTAATTTACGAAAACCAGCTTTTATTGGTTCTTGAGATTCAAGTTTTGGTGATGGTGATCGAACTTTTTCTTCGTGTGGTTCGACAATAACTTCAGCTGTTGATGATTTATTATTATCAATTGTTATTGTATATTGACCATTATCATTTTCATCACAATCATTTATGACAAGACCTATTTCAAAAAATAAAGTTTTCTTTTTTCGTAGAAAATAGGTCAATCTTTTTTTTTTTTTTTTTAACATTTATGATTGATTAAGAAAAGAATATTGCTCCGGGTTAACAGCTCATAGTAAAAATCTGTCAGAAAAATTTTTTGTAGATTTAAAATATGAAAAAGAATAAAATCGCATAAGGATGTCTCATATATATTTAATGATCTTTGAAAGAAAAGAAATATATTCTGAAAACTCTTTATCATATTGTACATGATACTAAATTGACTATTAACATGAAGTAAATTCTCTAGTATAGTTATACAGAATTTTCTGTCGTTTTTAGTAAAGAAACAAAATCGTAATGATAAGAATAAAATTTGATTACCTTGTAATTTTCCGTTATTCATAATTTCATATTTATCACTATCTTCAATAATTTTTCCATTTTTATCTTTCCAAATCACATTTTGTGGTCGTTTAGAAAGTTCACATTCAAGTAAAGCACTTTTCATATATTCGACATGTACAGGTGTTGTTAAATGTTGTAGAAAATCGACTCCAGCTGGTTCAATTGTACATTGTGAATTTGTTTCAATATTTGCTGGTAAAACACAACGATATAAACCCGAATCAGCTGTAACTGGTTGTAATATACGTAATTTATGTAATGTATTATTTTTCAATGATTCAATTTGATAATGTTTTTTCAATTCATTTGGTGATAATTTTTGTTGATCATGAAACCATTGAACAGTTGTTGATTTCGATGTTTCACATTCAAAAGCAAGTTCTTTTTCTTTACCTTCGATTGTATTTATACTTGATGGTGTTAATTCTTTTGTAAAACGAATTTCTTCTTCAATAAATAAATAAATAAAAAAAGAACAAATAGAAATTTTCTCTTTGTTTTTGGTATAAATAAAAATAAAAATTTACCTTTAATTGTTAATTCAATTGTTCTTTCGTCATCATCACTCTTAGCTGAATAAATTCCTGAATCAGCAATAAGAGTTGATTTTATAATTAATTGTCGTTGTAAATTTTTAACAATAATTTTATGATTTTGATCTTCTTTTATTTCTTTATTATTTAAAAACCATTTTATTTTACCTTTTTCTTGATTAATTGTTGTTGTTAAAGTTAATTCAGTTTTTTCTGGAATATTATTTATATCAGGTGTTGATACTTGAATATCAGAAGTAAACAAAACAGGTAATGGTTTAACAATAATTGTAACTGATTGACTTCGAAGACCATCTTTATTGGTTACAGTTGAATCTTTAACAACTGTTTCATATTTTCCTTTATCATCTGGTTGTGCAGCATCAAAACGAATTCGTACAGATGTTGAATTATCTTCATAAATTATTTGAGTATGTTTATCAATTGGAACACGTTTATTATCACGATTAAGAACAACATTTTTCACTGGTTTATTATAACGAATAAATAATTCAAATGGTAAATTTTCACTAACAGTATTATTATTATCTTTTGCATCAACAAGATGAAGTTGTTCAACGATTGATAATGGTTTATCATGAACTTTTAATCGTACACTGGTATCTTTTGTTTTATCAACGGTTACTTTATAAACACCTAAAGTAAACAAGTGATTTATATAATATTATTTTAGTTAGTAAAAGAGAATTTCAATAGTTAAAAATCTTGGGATAGACATTATTCATTGAATCATTTATTCAGAAGAGATAAATGAAAAGAACAAAGTCAAAGACATTGGATAAGGAATTAAATACATATGGATAGAATTTCACAGGGAAAAATAATCAGCTACTGGCTGTCCCTAAATGGAGATGATTGTAGAATTTTTTTTTTTCTGTAGTGTTCTATCGTTCACCTTTATTTTGGTGAGTTGAGAGACAGGATGACCGAATGTTCTATCCTGTGTTTATCTTTAATCTCGAGGTCGCTAGAATGGAGCGGAAGTGTTGATGACTTACGAGACCGACCGGAAGAGTTTTGCTTAAGTTGACCAGATTTTGGTTTTGATTGTAACTAATTGTTTTCTTGTTAGCTTCAATTTAATATTCATTGCATATTTATCTTTGTCACTGATACTCATCTCATTAACTTTTTCTTTATCGTACATATTTCTTTCTTTTACTTCATTGATAAACTTCTGCTTGAGTGCTACTTTCAGTCAACCACTTCGTCATTTATTCACGTTAATTTTGTTTTTTTTTCTTTTCTTTCTAATTATCATTTTTGCTTCTTGTTCATCATTGTACCACATGTCGCCTTATTAGTGGCACCTGCGATCGTATCCTGTTGCATTTCAGGGAAGTTGAGTCTCATTTTGGGGAAGTAGTGGGCAAAAAAAAAACGAAAGTTTTTACGATTGGATAAAATCATTATTGCAATGCGCAATGATTTAAATCTTGATTGAACACGAATTTAATCAAAATAAAGATAATGACCTTAATATATGGTTCAATATTCTATCTCACATTCTTAATCATCAGATAAATAAGCGAATTGCTGAAGGATTCTGTATGATACAATGATTACCTCAATTGTCTAGTGATGAAGTACAATACTTTTTCTATCTCAAATTCTTCAAAACAAAGATCGATATATAATTAATTAAAATAATTTATAAAAAAGAAAAATATATCTGAAACCGATCTAAAGCAATTTTTTGATCATAATGAAATATATTTGTTCAAAACAAATAATATAAATAAAAGCAAATAGAAGTAAATATGAAATCTTACCAGCATCATCAGATTTGACATTACTTAAATGAATTTTTAATGTTGGTCCATCTCGTTCAATTTTAACACGTGCATTATCAGCTGCTGATAATGGTTTATTATTTTTAAGCAATGTAACTGGTATATTTTCATCATCAATAGGACGATTTAAAACACATTGCATAATAACATTTGAATCTTCTTCAATATCATCTGATGGAATACATTTAAGTTGTTCAATAAATTCAAATGGTGGTAATGCAACAGTTAAATTAATACTTTCTTTAAGTTCACCATCATTAAAATTAATTGAATAAATTCCTGAATCATCTAATTTTAAATCCGATAATTTCAAACGATATTTTGTTTGATCTTTTATTGGTGATGGTTGATTTTCTAATGGAACATTATCTTTTAACCATATAAATGAAATATTTGGACGATTTAATTCAATTTGAAGTTCAACATTACCACCAACAATTGGTGTACCAAGAACTTTTAATGGTATAATAGTTTTAAGTGGAATTGATTTAATATTAATGTCACATTGAGTAATAATATCATCATTTATTTGTAACAAATATGTTCCACTTTGATCTAATTTAACATTTTCAATAGATAATTTAAATTGTTGTCCATCACGTGATGGTATTGAACGAATACGTTTATTATCAATTGATATTGGTTTATTATCTTTTAACCAAACAATAGTTGGATTATCAGGAACATTTTTTAATTTTGTTGAAAGAATAAGTGTATCTTCTTCAAAAACATTTTCTTTATCGGATTGTAATGGTTGAATAACTTCAATTGGTTTCGGTCGAACTTTAACATTGACTGTTTGTGATTGAAGTTCTTGTGGATGAAGAATTTTTAATTGATAATTACCTTGATCAACAGTTAATTTAACATTTGATAATGTTAAAACTATTTTAGGACTTGTTGAACTAATATCAACTTTTAAGCGTCTTGTTTGTTCACTTGATAATACTTTTCCATTGAGTGTTAATGAAAGATCTTTACTGTCATCTGTTGGTAATGGACGAGATAATTCACATTGAAATGTTATTGTTTCATCAACAATTGGTTCAGAATTTGATACAGTTAAATCTTGAATAAATGTAAGTGGTCTTATAATTGTTACTTTAACTTTCGGTGAAGTAAGTTTATCATTAATTGTAACTGTATAATCGCCTTCATCAATTTCTTGTTTAACATGTGTAATTTTTATTTGCCATTTATTACCTGTTTGAGTTATTTTTATACGATCATCTTCATCTTCATTTAATGGTTTATCATTAAGAGAAAATTTAACGGATTTATAAGTTGGTTTATCTAATTCACATTCGAGTATTAATGTTTCATCTTCATTTAATGGATTTTTTAATGCACGAAGTGGTTTAAGAAACTTAATTTCTTCCGATTTAATTGTTATTTTAATTATTGAACTTCTTAATGGTTTTTTCTGATTTGGACTTGAAACTTCTAAATAATAATCACCAGACATTGTCGTGTCAACATTTGGAATTTGTAAAATAATTTGTTCATTTGGATATTCTTGTTCAATTGGAATTTGTATTTCATTACGATACCATTGAATTGTTTCATCAGGTTTTAATGGACGACTTAATTGACAAGAAAATTCTAATGTTTCATTCTCATTTAAAGTTGGTTTTGTTGCTTTAAGATCGTTGAGAAATGTTAATGGTTTTTCTTCAACAACAACAGGAATTCTATCACTTTCAATATCTTTTACTCGAACAGAATAAGTACCAGTATGATCCGATGGTTGTGCATCTTTTATTGTCATCTTTAGTCTTGGACCATCAACAAAGAATTGAATATGTGCATCTTCTTCCATTGGTTCATTATCTTTGAGCCAAACGATTTGATCGAACGGTTTGTTTAATGTACATTCAAAATTCAAAGTTTCTCCAATATCAAATTTCTTTTTATTAATACTTAAATTTTTAACAAATTTTGGAATATCAGCAATAACTTTGATTGATACTGGTTTGCTTTCAACTTCATCATTCACTTTAACTGTAAAATCACCTGATTCGTTCAATTGAATATTATCCAATGTGAATTTTATCTTCTTATCTTTAATTTCAGGTTTTATTCGATCATTAGGAATTGTTTCTCCATTTAATTTAAGCTCAACTTTAGATGGTACCATATCGAGTTCACAATCGAGAACAAGTTGCTCACCTTCAGTTAATGGTGTTTTATTTGCTTTAAGATCCTTCACGAATTTCGGTACTTTCTTGATAACTGTAACAGGTACTTTATCACTTTCAACATTTTTTACTTGAACTGAATAAGTACCAGTATGATCAGTGGGTTGTGCATCTTTCACAGTTAATTTAAGTTTTGGACCATCAGCAGAAAATGAAATGCGTGCATCTTCTTCGATTGGTTGACCATCTTTAAGCCAAACAACTTCATTGAATGGTTTATTGAGAGTACATTCGAAGTTAAGTGTTTCTCCAATATCGAATTGTTTCTTGTTAATTGTTAAATTCTTTATGAATTTCGGAGTATCAGCATTAACTTTGACTGAAACAGGTTTGCTTTCAACTTCATCATTGACTTTAACAGTATAGTCACCAGACTCATCTAATTTGACGTTGTCTAATGTGAATTTAATTTTTTTATCTTTTACTTCTTTCTTGACACGATCTTCAGGCACTGTTTCTCCATTCAATTTAAGCTCAACTTTAGATGGTGCCATATCAAGTTCACACTCGAGAACAAGTTGTTCACCTTCAGTTAATGGTGTCTTATTTGCTTTGAGATCTTTGACAAATTTCGGTACTTTTTTAGTAACAGTAATAGGTACTTTATCACTTTCAACATTCTTGAACTGAATAAGTACCAGTATGATCAGTGGGTTGTGCATCTTTCACAGTTAATTTAAGTTTTGGACCATCAGTAGAGAATGAAATATGTTCATCTTGTTCAATTGGTTGACCGTCTTTCAGCCAGACTATTTCATTGAATGGTTTATTTAGAGTACATTCGAAGTTAAGTGTTTCTCCAATATCGAATTGTTTCTTGTTGATTGTTAAATTCTTTATGAATTTCGGAATATCAGCATTAACTTTGATTGAAACAGGTTTGCTTTCAACTTCATCATTGACTTTAGCAGTAAAGTCACCAGATTCATCTAGTTTTATGTTATCCAATGTGAATTTAATTTTTTTATCTTTTACTTCAGTCTTGACACGATCATCGGGTACTTTTTCTCCATTGATTTGAAGTTGGACAGTGGTAGGTGTTGTATCTAATTCACATTCAAGTATAAGTTGTTCTCCTTCAGTTAGTGGTGTCTTATTTGCTTTCAGATCTTTGACAAATTTCGGTACTTTCTTAGTAACAGTAATAGGTACTTTATCACTTTCAACATTCTTGACTTGAACTGAGTAAGTACCAGTATGATCCGATGGTTGAGCATCTTTAATAGTTAGTTTAAGTTTTGGACCTTCAGCAGAAAATGAAATGCGTGCATCTTCTTCGATTGGTTGGCCATCTTTGAACCAAATAACTTCATTGAACGGTTTATTGAGAGTACATTCGAAATTAAGGGTTTCTCCAATATCGAATTGTTTCTTATTAATTGTTAAATTCTTTACGAATTTCGGAATATCTGCGTTGACTGTGATTGAAACAGGTTTGCTTTCAACTTCATCATTAACTTTTGCTGTAAAATTACCAGATTCATCTAGTTTGATGTTGTCTAATGTGAATTTAATTTTTTTATCTTTTACTTCAGTCTTGACACGATCATCGGGTACTTTTTCTCCATTGATTTGAAGTTGGACAGTGGTAGGTGTTGTATCTAATTCACATTCAAGTATAAGTTGTTCTCCTTCAGTTAGTGGTGTCTTATTTGCTTTCAGATCTTTGACAAATTTCGGTACTTTCTTAGTAACAGTAATAGGTACTTTATCACTTTCAACATTCTTGACTTGAACTGAGTAAGTACCAGTATGATCCGATGGTTGAGCATCTTTAATAGTTAGTTTAAGTTTTGGACCTTCAGCAGAAAATGAAATGCGTGCATCTTCTTCGATTGGTTGGCCATCTTTGAACCAAATAACTTCATTGAACGGTTTATTGAGAGTACATTCGAAATTAAGGGTTTCTCCAATATCGAATTGTTTCTTATTAATTGTTAAATTCTTTACGAATTTCGGAATATCTGCGTTGACTGTGATTGAAACAGGTTTGCTTTCAACTTCATCATTAACTTTTGCTGTAAAATTACCAGATTCATCTAGTTTGATGTTGTCTAATGTGAATTTAATTTTTTTATCTTTTACTTCAGTCTTGACACGATCATCGGGTACTTTTTCTCCATTGATTTGAAGTTGAAAGAAAACCAGTATCTATCACTGTTAATGCAGATATTCCGAAATTCGTAAAGAATTTAACAATTAATAAGAAACAATTCGATCTTGGAGAAACCCTTAACTTCGAATGTACTCTCAATAAACCATTCANCCTTCAGTTATTGGTGTCTTATTTGGTTTGAGTCCTTTGACAAATTTCGGTACTTTCTTAGTAACAGTAACAGGTACTTTATCACTTTCAACATTCTTCACTTGTACTGAGTAAGTACCAGTGTGATCAGAGGGTTGAGCATCTTTCACAGTTAATTTAAGTTTTGGACCATCAGTAGAGAATGAAATATGTTCATCTTGTTCGATTGGTTGACCATCTTTAAGCCAAACAACTTCATTGAATGGTTTATTGAGAGTACATTCGAAGTTAAGGGTTTCTCCAAGATCGAATTGTTTCTTATTAATTGTTAAATTCTTTACGAATTTCGGAATATCTGCATTAACAGTGATAGATACTGGTTTGCTTTCAACTTCATCATTGACTTTAGCTGTAAAATTACCAGATTCATCTAGTTTGATATTGTCTAATGTGAATTTAATTTTCTTGTCTTTTACTTCAGTCTTGACACGATCTTCAGGTACTTTTTCTCCATTGATTTGAAGTTGAACATTGGTAGGCGTTGTATCTAATTCACATTCAAGAATAAGTTGTTCACCTTCAGTTAATGGTGTCTTATTTGGTTTCAGATCTTTGATGAATTTGGGAACCTTCTTAGTAACGGTAATAGGTACTTTATCACTTTCAACATTTTTGACTTGAACTGAATAAGTACCAGTATGATCAGTGGGTTGTGCATCTTTCACAGTTAATTTAAGTTTTGGACCATCAGCAGAAAATGAAATGCGTGCATCTTCTTCTATTGGTTGACCATCTTTGAACCAAATAACTTCATTGAATGGTTTATTGAGAGTACATTCGAAGTTAAGGGTTTCTCCAATATCGAATTGTTTCTTATTAATTGTTAAATTCTTTACGAATTTCGGAATATCAGCGTTAACTTTGATTGAAACAGGTTTGCTTTCAACTTCATCATTGACTTTAGCTGTAAAATTTCCAGATTCATCTAGTTTTATGTTATCCAATGTGAATTTAATTTTCTTGTCTTTTACTTCTGTCTTAACACGATCTTCAGGTACTTTTTCTCCATTAATTTGAAGTTGAACATTGGTAGGTGTTGTATCTAATTCACATTCAAGAATAAGTTGTTCACCTTCAGTTAATGGTGTCTTATTTGGTTTCAGATCTTTGACGAATTTGGGAACCTTCTTAGTAACAGTAATAGGTACTTTATCACTTTCAACATTCTTCACTTGAACTGAATAAGTACCAGTGTGATCAGAGGGTTGAGCATCTTTCACAGTTAACTTAAGTGTTGGACCATCAGTAGAGAATGAAATATGTTCATCTTGTTCAATTGGTTGACCGTCTTTCAGCCAGACTATTTCATTGAATGGTTTATTTAGAGTACATTCGAAGTTAAGTGTTTCTCCAAGATCAAACTGCTTCTTGTTGATTGTTAAATTCTTTATGAATTTCGGAATATCAGCATTAACTTTGATTGAAACAGGTTTGCTTTCAACTTCATCGTTGACTTTAACGGTAAAGTCACCAGATTCATCTAGTTTGATGTTGTCTAATGTGAATTTAATTTTTTTATCTTTTACTTCAGTCTTGACACGATCATCGGGTACTTTTTCTCCATTGATTTGAAGTTGGACAGTAGTTGGTGCCATATCTAGTTCACATTCAAGTATGAGTTGTTCTCCTTCTAGTAGTGTCGTCTTGTTTGGTTTAAGTTCTTTGACGAATTTGGGAACTTTCTTGCTGACAGTTACAGGTATTTTGTCACTTTCAACGTTCTTGACTTTAACGGAATAGGTACCTGTGTGGTCTTCTGGTTGAGCATCTTTAAGAGTAAGTTTAAGTTTTGGTCCATCTTGTGAAAATTGAATACGTTCATTTTGCTCGATAGGTTGACCGTCTTTCAACCAGACTACTTCATTGAATGGTTTATTGAGTGCACATTCGAAGTTTAGAGTCTCTCCAGCATCGAATTGTTTCTTGTTGATGGTGAGGTTCTTTATGAACTTGGGAATATCTGCATTAACTGTGATAGATACTGGTTTACTTTCGACTTCATCATTCACTTTAGCATTGAAGTTACCAGATTCATCTAATTGAATGTTGTCTAACGTAAATTTAATCTTTTTGTCTTTAATATCCGTCTTCACGCGATCATCAGGTATTGTTTCTCCATTGATTTGAAGTTTAATGGAAGTTGGTGTCGTATCTAATTCACATTCAAGTATTAATTGTTCTCCTTCTAGTAGTGTCGTCTTGTTTGGTTTAAGTTCTTTGACGAATTTCGGAACCTTCTTTGTAACCGTAACAGACACTTTATCACTTTCGACATCTTTCACCTTAAGTGAATAGGTGCCAGTGTGATCTTCTGGTTGAGCATCTTTAATAGTAAGTTTAAGTTTCGGTCCATCTTGGGAGAATTGAATACGTTCATTTTGCTCGACAGGTTGTCCATCTTTTAGCCAAACAATTTGGTTATATGGTTTATTCAGTGTACAGTCAAAGTTTAGAGTCTCTCCAGCATCAAATTGTTTCTTGTTGACAGTGAGATTCTTTACGAACTTGGGAATATCGGCATTAACTTTAATAGAAACAGGTTTACTTTCGACATCATCATTGGCTTTAACAGTATAGTCTCCAGATTCGTCTAATTGAATGTTGTCTAATGTAAATTTAATCTTTTTTTCTTTAACATCAATTTTTACACGATCGTCTGGTATCGGTTCACCGTTTATTTGTAGCCGAAGAGTTGTTGGTACTGAGTCAAGTTCTCCTTCGATAATCAGTTGATCACCTTCGAGAAGATTTGTTTTATTTGGTTTTAGATCTTTGATAAATTTAAGTTTTGGCTTTTGTTCTTCAGGTTTGACTTCATCACCGATTTCTTTGGTTTCAGGAACTGCTTCGAGAGCAGCAGGTGGCTGCGCTTCTGGCACTGGCTCAGAAAGTGGTTTCTAAGATGAAAAGTAACAATGAGATAAAAAATTTCTAAACACTGTGAACATTTCAGTAGTGACGCTCTCTGCTATAGTTGGCTACTCAAGGAATTTTCCTAATTTGAGTAAAGTCGGTTGATGTTCAAATTTTTCTGCATCTACTTGTGATTGAATTTCCTCAAAGCGGGACAAAGACTGCGTGAAGGAGTAGGGAGAATTTTTATTTCAAGATGAAGGGACTTCACTCGTTGTCGAAGAAATCGTATTGGAAATGACTGTTGCCCATTCAGAACAAGCTAAGACAGCTAATCCTTTTAAAATTGATTTTCATGAAAAGTTCTCGTTTAGAGAATATCTGTCTTTCATAGGTTTTAAAACAATACAGATTTTTGCTTTCCATGAGAAGAATTGTTTGTTGTCAAGAATAAGCAAAATTCGCACTCAATTTTGTCTCCCAAAGTAAACTATTCTTTTCGATACCGTTTAGAAACTTTTCCTGCCTTTTTTTCTTTCTAACATTCCCGTAGAAGATATGATTTCATTTAAGCATGGTACTAATAAGATGATAAACATACCTCTGGTGTTGCTTTTTCCTCTTCTACAGGAGTTGGTTCTGGTTGGGCTTGTTCTTCAACGGGTTTTGGCTGTTCTTTTTCTACTGGTTTTGGTTTTTCTTGTTCAATCGGTTTCTCTTCTTCTGTCGGTTTCGGCTTTTCTTCTTCAACAGGTTTCGGTTCTTCTTTTGTCGGTTTCGGTTTTTCTTCTTCGACAGGTTTTGGTTTTTCCTCTTCAACCGGTTTCGGCTTCTCTTCTTCAACTGGTTTTGGTTTTTCTTCTTCGACAGGTTTGGGTTTTTCCACTTCAGCTGGTTTTGGTTTTTCTTCTTCAGCTGGCTTTGGTTTTTCCTCTTCAACTGGTTTCGGCTTCTCTTCTTCAACTGGTTTTGGTTTTTCTTCTTCGACAGGTTTGGGTTTTTCCACTTCAGCTGGTTTTGGTTTTTCCTCTTCAACTGGTTTCGGCTTCTCTTCTTCAACTGGTTTTGGTTTTTCTTCTTCGACAGGTTGGGGTTTTTCCACTTCAGCTAGTTTTGGTTTTTCTTCTTCAGCTGGTTTTGGTTTTTCCTCTTCAACTGGTTTTGGCTTCTCTTCTTCAACTGGTTTTGGTTTTTCTTCTTCGACAGGTTTGGGTTTTTCCTCTTCAGCTGGTTTTGGTTTTTCTTCTTCAGGGGGTTTCGATTTCTCTTTTTCAACTTGTTTTGGTTTCTCTTCTTCTACCGGTTTCGGTTTTTCTTCTTCAGTTGGCTTTGGTTTTTCTTCTTCAACAGGTTTAGGTTTTTCCTCTTCAACCGGTTTCGGCTTCTCTTCTTCGACTGGTTTTGGTTTTTCTTCTTCGGCAGGTTTCAATTTCACTTCTTCAATTACAGGAGATGGTTGTTGAACAGTTTCTTCTGATACAGTTTCTTGTGTAACAGTTTCCAGTTGCTAGAAATCGAAAAATAATTTTTTGATAATTTAAAAGACATTTAAACGTGCTTACTTCTGGTATTTCTTTCTTCGGTTTTCTTTGTAATTGAAATGATTCAGTTTCTTCATCTTCAACTAAAATAGTTGTCTGTTGTTCTTCTTCTTGAACATTCTCAATTACACGAATAAACGATGTTTCCAGTACTAAATGTGAACTTTCAAGTTTATAAACTCCTTCATGTTGTTTAGGTCGTAAATCTTTAACTGTTAGAGTGTATGATTTTCCATCATCTGTTGTTTCAATAGTAACTCTATCATCGTTAAGTTGAGTTAGTGGAATATCATTTAGTTTCCAAACTAAAGTTTCGTCTGGTTTTTTATCGAATTCACATTGAATAGTTAATGTTTCACCCTCTTCAAACACATCTTTTGGTAAATGAAGGGAATCATGAATTACAGGTTTTGGTAAAACTTTCAAAATCATTAATTTTTGTCTTGGTTTTTCACCAAATTGAATTGAATAAGTACCTTTATCATTAAGTTTAACATTTTCTAGAGTTATTTCAATAGTTGTTGGTGATGTTGGTTTGATTGTCAAACGAGTATTGGGTTCCAGTTTTTTATCATTTTGCAACAAAAAGATTTGTTCAATATTTGTACCTGTTGGTTGTTCAAGTTTGAGATTAACACTATTACCTTCAACAACTTCATATGTTGGAATTTCTGCTGGTTTAATTTCTTCTTCCTCTTCGACAACTTCTTCAACAACAGTTTCTTTTAATGGAATTTGAGCTTCAGTTTTTTTCAATCTCGGCGCTGTTACTTCAAGCATACAAAGCGGTTGTAATTTTCCGTTAAATTCAACAGTATATCGACCAGCGTCTTCAGGTTTAGCATCTGAAACGACAACGTAATTGTCAGTTTCACCATCTTTTTCAATTGTGATACGACTGTCTTCATTGTGCAATGTTGTTACGGGTTGGTTATTTATATAAACATTAATTTCATTTGTTACTGTTGTTTTCGAATCAGGTATACGAATTGTTATTGTATCACCTCCTGGAACACGAACAATTGGAAGTTCAATTTCACTTCGATATGTTTTTTCTTCTTCTTCTTTTGGAATCTGAATTTAGAAAGAAAAAAAAGAAAGAAAGATGATTGAAAATATCGAATAGACATACTTCTTCGACTGTTGGCTTTTCAACAATAGCTTCCGGAACAGTTTCCTGCGGCTAGAATAAAAGAAAAAAAAAATACTTGCATCTATTATACATGTTTAAAAATACTACTTTTGTTTCAACAGTGACTGTCTCTTCTTCGATTACTTTCTCCGAGACTTCTGGTTGCTTGACAATTGGTTTTGGTTTTTCTTCAACAATCTGCAATGAAAAAAAAAGTATTTTGAAAAAATTAAAAAGCCACTAAAATATCGATTCATGAGTAGAAGCTGAGAAATATTATTTCAGCTCAGCATAACGCCGAAATACGTTACCTCTTCAACTACTTCTTCAACAACAGGTGCTTTAGGAGCTTCGATAGTGATTGTCTCTTCCTCAATAGTCGTTGTTTCCGTTCCAGGTTTCTTTTCTTCAGGAACAACAGTGATTGAAGGTGTATCAAGAACCAAATGATCTGATTTAAGTGTATAAACACCTTCATCTTCTGGATGAAGATCTTTTACAACAATTGTATATTTATTATCTTCTACAGTAGTAGTAACACGAGAATCTGGTATAATTGGTTGTTCATTGTGTAGAAATGTGAATGGTTCTTCAGGTGTACCATCAAATTGACAAACAATAGTAAGTGTTTCTTTTTCATTGAATTGTACTTTTGGTAATTGCATTTCTTGTCGAATAACAGGTTTGGGATGAACTTTAAGTCGAACAAGTGGTTGTTCAACACCTTTCACTTCGACTGTGTAATCACCTTCATCTTCTGGTTTAACTTTGATAATTTGAACTTCTGTTGTTGTTGGTGATGTTGGAGTAACTTTTACGTGGTCCGACGGTTTTAATTCTTGTCCATCTTTAAGTAAGATAACATCTTCTGGTTTTGTGGCTTGAGGCTTCTCAATTGTTAATGTTACTGTACTAGATTCTTCGACTTCATGTACAGGTAATTCTGGCTTTTTCTTTGCTTCCTACAAGAGATGAACATAGGTGACAATAGTCAATTCAATAATTCAGTTATTGCTTAAACTCGAACGAAAAAAAAAAGAAGAAAAGCATAAGAAAAATGCCTACCGGTTTTTCTTCTTCGGTTACTTGTTTTGTTTGCGGTTGCTCTGTTGTGATAGTGATCGTTTCTTCTTCAACAGTTGTTGTTTCAGTCTGCGGTTTCTTTTCTTCAGGAAGAATAGTGATTGAAGGTGTATCAAGAATCAAATGATCCGATTTAAGTGTATAAACACCTTCATCTTCTTGTGGTCTCAACCCTTTAACAACAATTGTATATGTAGTGTCATCAACAGTAGTCGAAATTCGATCATCTGGTTTAAGTGGTTTTCCATTTCTTAAGAATTCGAATATTTCTTCAGGTGTCGAATCAAACTGACATTTAATGGTCAATGTCTCTCCTTCCTTAAAAGTTGTTTGAGGTATATCCATTGTTTGATGAACAATTGGTTTAGGAATAACTTTGAGTTGCATTATTGGTCGCTCTTTTTTATCAATGATAAAGGTATATTTTCCTTCGTCGTCAGGTTTAGCTTTAATAATTTGGATTTCGATAGTTGTCGACGATGTTCGGGTAATTTTGATATGTTTTGAAGGTTTTACTGGTTGCTTGTCTTTAAGAAGTATTATTTCTTTGCGTGGTATACCTTCAGGTAGTTGCACAGTCAATGTAAGAGTACTATTTTCTTCAACTTCTCGAATTGAAGTTTCGAATACTTCTTCAGGCTAAACATTTCAGAGCATGACATGCGAGATTTTGAGCAAAAGTTCAAATTGTCTTACCTTTTTTTCTTCTGGTATTTGCGTTACTTCTTTCACTTCTTGAACAACTGTCTCAGGTTGTTTTTCTTGTGGTACAACTGTAATTATTTCTTCTTCAACGGTAGTTGTTTCTGTTCCAGGTTTCTTTTCTTCGGGAACAACAGTAATTGACGGCGTATCAAGAATTAAATGATCTGATTTAAGTGTATAAATACCTTCATCTTCTGGATGAAGATCTTTTACAACAATTGTATATTTATTATCTTCTACAGTAGTAGTAACACGAGAATCTGGTACAATTGGTTGTTCATTGTGTAGAAATGTGAATGGTTCTTCAGGTGTACCATCAAATTGACAAACAATAGTAAGTGTTTCTTTTTCATTGAATTGTACTTTTGGTAATTGCATTTCTTGTCGAATAACAGGTTTGGGATGAACTTTAAGTCGAACAAGTGGTTGTTCAACACCTTTCACTTCGACTGTGTAATCACCTTCATCTTCTGGTTTAACTTTGATAATTTGAACTTCTGTTGTTGTTGGTGATGTTGGAGTAACTTTTACGTGATCTGAAGGTTTCAATTGTTCTCCATCTTTAAGTAAGACAACATCTTCTGGTTTTGTGGCTTGAGGTTTTTCAATAGTTAATGTTACAGTACTTGTTTCTTCGACTTCATGTACAGGTAACTCAGTTACTTTCTCCTTTGTTGTAGGCTAAAAAAGAAAGTTATATAAGGAAATAGTTTCTTGATGATATTGACAATATCTCACTTTTGGTTGTTCTGTCAGAAATGCTAATTCTTCTTTTTGTTCTTGTACTTCGGTCGTTGTTGTTTCTTTTGGTTGAGGAATTTCTTCTGTGACAATATTTTCTTGTATCTTCGTTTCTTCAGTACGTTGAGGCTAAAAACAAAAATTCCGTTATAGAAACTCAAACCGCACTATGAAAGATCAAAAAAATATTCGAATCTTAATGTGGTATGCACTCACGATGTCTTCTTTCTGTTCTTCGGTAGGTGCTTCCTCTCGGACCTCGATTATTTCTTCTGTTTCTATTTTTTCAGGTCCTTTCGGTTTCGATACAACTTTAATCGATGGTGTATCAAGAATCAAATGATCGGATTTTAGTGTATAAACTCCTTCATCTTCGTGTGGCTTTAAGCCTTTTACAACAATTGTATATGTATTATCTTCAATAGTAGTCGAAATTCGATCATCCGGTGGTAGAGGTTTTCCATTTATCAAGAATTCAAAAGTTTCTTCCGGTGTAGAATCAAATTGACATTTAATGGTCAATGTTTCTCCTTCGTTGAACGTTGTTTGTGGTATATCCATTGTTTGATGAGTAATTGGTTTTGGAATAACTTTGAGCAAGACTAATGGTTGTTGTTTTTTACCAATCATAACGCTATATTTTCCTTCGTCTTCAGGTTTGGCTTTGATAATTTGGATTTCGATGGTTGTCGGCGATGTTTGCACAATTTTGATATGTTCTGAAGGTTTTAATTCCTCATTATCTTTCAAAAGAATAATATCACGTATAGGTGTATCCACAGTGAGAGTTACAGTTGTATCCTCTTCAACTTCATGCACAGCCATTTCTTGTTCAGAAGTCTCTGTTCGCTAAAAGGAGAACGCCGGAGTGCTAAATGACGCATAGTTCCAAACTTACCTGTTCTTCAGGTCTCACTAGTTCCCGTTTTTCTTCTGCAACTGTCTGCTCGACTTCAACTACATCCGTTTTTTCTGTTGGCGTAACATCGACTTTCTTCGCATCCATAATTTCCGCTTGAGTTTCTTCTTTTGGTTTTTCAACTTCCGCCTGCTACAAAAAATAACCATCAGTTCAAATGTGCTCAACTCTCCATATATCAGTCACTATTTCTTTATCAGTATTTTATCTTCCTATTATCTCGCTACGATTACTGACATATTTATACCATCTTCTTTTTTCCTTCTGCGTTCCCTACATTTTCTGAAACAAACGATTTAGATTGAGCATCTACAGCTACTTGAGACTTGTCTCAGTCAACCGACTCTCTTCGCACATCATCTTATCCCTGTTCCTGAACTGAAAGTTGTCCTTCAATAGGTTTTCCTTTTTTTTCTTCCCAAGGCGTAGGTATATCTTGTACTACTGGTTTGGGGGGTTCCATCATCAACCAGTAAAGCTGTCTATTTTTCCATCGATTCCGAGTGATCTTTCTCTAACGTTTTCTGTTCTGTTTCTTCAACCGCCTGAGATTTCTCTTCTTCGGCGCATCTTGGCATCTACACCTCTACCTGTTTCGCCTTCTCTTCTTCTATTTGTTTAGGTTGTTCTTCTTCCACCAGTTCTGGTTTTTCCTCTTCGGCCGGTTGAGGTTTCTCTTCTTCAGTTGGTTTAGGTTTTTCTTCTTCTATTTGTTTTGGTTTTTCCTCCTCAACTGGTTTAGGTTTTTCTTCTTCTATTTGTTTTGGTTTTTCCTCCTCAACTGGTTGAGGTTGTTCTTCTTCAGCGGGTTTTGGTTTTTCTTCTTCTACCTGTGTGAGTTTTTCCTCTTCCACAGGCTGAGGTTGTTCTTGTTTAAGTGGTTTGGGTTTTACTTCTTCAGCTGGTTTAGGTTTTTCCTCTTCAACAGGTTGAAGTTGTTCTTGTTCCGCTAGTTTGGGTGTTTCTTCTTCAGTTGGTTTAGGTTTTTCCTCTTCAGCTGGTTGAGGTTGTTCTTCTTCCACCGGTTTGGGTTTTTCTTCTTCAGTTGGTTTCGGTTTTTCCTCTTCAGCAGGTTGAGGTTGTTCTTCTTCAGTTGGTTTAGGTTTTTCCTCTTCAGCTGGTTGAGGTTGTTCTTCTTCCACCGGTTTGGGTTTTTCTTCTTCAGTTGGTTTAGGTTTTTCCTCTTCAACTGGTTTTGGTTTTTCCTCTTCAGCTGGTTTTGATTTTTCTTCTTCCACCGGTTTGGGTTTTTCTTCTTCAGTTGGTTTAGGTTTTTCCTCTTCAGCAGGTTTTGGTTTTTCTTCTTCTACCTGTGTGAGTTTTTCCTCTTCAGCAGGTTGAGGTTGTTCTGCTTCAGTTGGTTTAGGTTTTTCCTCTTCAGCTGGTTTTGGTTTTTCTTCTTCCACCGGTTTGGGTTTTTCCTCTTCAACTGGTTTAGGTTTTTCCTGTTCAGCTGGTTTTGGTTTTTCTTCTTCCACCGGTTTGGGTTTTTCTTCTTCAGTTGGTTTAGGTTTTTCCTCTTCAACTGGTTTTGGTTTTTCCTCTTCAGCTGGTTTTGGTTTTTCTTCTTCTACCTGTGTGAGTTTTTCCTCTTCAGCAGGTTGAGGTTGTTCTGCTTCAGTTGGTTTAGGTTTTTCCTCTTCAGCTGGTTTTGGTTTTTCTTCTTCCACCGGTTTGGGTTTTTCCTCTTCAACTGGTTTTGGTTTTTCCCCTTCAGCTGGTTGAGGTTGTTCTTCTTCCACCGGTTTGGGTTTTTCTTCTTCAGTTGGTTTAGGTTTTTCCTCTTCAACTGGTTTTGGTTTTTCTTCTTCCACCGGTTTGGGTTTTTCCTCTTCAACTGGTTTTGGTTTTTCCTCTTCAGCTGGTTTTGGTTTTTCTTCTTCAGCTGGTTTTGGTTTTTCTTCTTCCACCGGTTTCGGTTTTTCTTCTTCGGCTGGTTTTGGTTTTTCTTCTTCAGTTGGTTTTGGTTTTTCTTCTTCCACCGGTTTGGGTTTTTCCTCTTCAACTGGTTTTGGTTTTTCCTCTTCAGCTGGTTTTGGTTTTTCTTCTTCTACCTGTGTGAGTTTTTCCTCTTCAACAGGTTGAGGTTGTTCTGGCTCAGCTGGTTTGGGTGTTTCTTCTTCAGTTGGTTTTGGTTTTTCCTCTTCAGCAGGTTGAGGTTTTTCTTCTTGAGTTGGTTTAGGTTTTTCCTCTTCAGCTGGTTTTGGTTTTTCTTCTTCCACCGGTTTCGGTTTTTCTTCTTCGGCTGGTTTTGGTTTTTCTTCTTCAGTTGGTTTTGGTTTTTCTTCTTCAGTTGGTTTAGGTTTTTCCTCTTCAGCTGGTTTTGGTTTTTCCTCTTCAACTGGTTGGGGTTGTTCTTCTTCCACCGGTTTGGGTTTTTCTTCTTCAGCTGGTTTTGGTTTTTCTTCTTCAGTTGGTTTAGGTTTTTCCTCTTCAGCTGGTTTTGGTTTTTCCTCTTCAGCAGGTTGAAGTTGTTCTTCTTCAGCTGGTTTTGGTTTTTCTTCTTCAGTTGGTTTAGGTTTTTCCTCTTCAGCTGGTTTTGGTTTTTCCTCTTCAGCAGGTTGAGGTTGTTCTTCGGGTGGTTTTGGTTTTTCCTCTTCAACTGGCTGAGGTTTTTCTTCTTCCACCGGTTTTGGTTTTTCTTCTTCCACCGGTTTGGGTTTTTCCTCTTCAGTTGGTTTAGGTTTTTCCTCTTCAGCTGGTTTAGGTTGTTCTTCGGATGGTTTTGGTTTTTCCTCTTCAACTGGTTGAGGTTTTTCTTCTTCCACCGGTTTGGGTTTTTCTTCTTCAGCTGGTTTTGGTTTTTCTTCTTCAGTTGGTTTAGGTTTTTCCTCTTCAGCTGGTTTTGGTTTTTCTTCTTCAGCTGGTTTTGGTTTTTCTTCTTCAGTTGGTTTAGGTTTTTCCTGTTCAGCTGGTTTTGGTTTTTCCTCTTCAGCAGGTTTTGGTTTTTCTTCTTCTACCTGTGTGAGTTTTTCCTCTTCAACAGGTTGAGGTTGTTCTTGTTCAGCTGGTTTGGGTGTTTCTTCTTCAGTTGGTTTAGGTTTTTGCTCTTCAGCTGGTTTTGGTTTTTCCTCTTCAGCTGGTTTTGGTTTTTCTTCTTCCACCGGTTTGGGTTTTTCTTCTTCAGCTGGTTTTGGTTTTTCTTCTTCAGTTGGTTTAGGTTGTTCTTCTTCAGCTGGTTTAGGTTTTTCTTTTTCTACAGGTTTTGGTGTCTCTTCTTCTGTCTGTTTAGGTATTTCTTCTTGAGCCGGCTTTTGTGTTTCCTCTTCAACGGGTTTAGGTTGTTGTTCTTGAACTGTTTTAGGCTTTTGTTCTTCTGTAGCCGATGGTGTCGTGATCATGTCTTCTTTCGTTTGTTCTAGTGGAATGGGCTGAAAAGCAATAATTTTTAAGTGGGGGTGTTTTTTAAAATCATAAGAAGAAAATACGTTTATCAGCGCTGTTTAAGTTAAAATCTTGCACGATGATATGCAAAAACAGGACTAAGGGTGTTTTGGGGAAGGTCCACTTTCAAAAAAGTTCATATCGGTGACTATGACGTATTTATTTTTGGATAAGCGAGGCGCCAACGGCTACGAAATCTGAAGTTGATTTGTTAGTTTAGAAGGTACGGCTAGGATAATGTAGTATTATATTGAAATTGATTAAGAATAAACATGTATTTTATGGAAACATCAATGCGGTAGTGTTTGCTGATCCATTTTGTTTTTTTTCATCGGGTTATTCGTTGTATGCGTATGTAGCTACGAAGCGTTTTTTTCAGCATTACCCTGATGCCTGCTTATCCTTATCCACTTTATTCAAGGAGTTGTGTCCTTATGCGACTACGATCTTCTCGAACAATAATAAAAGATTATTGGCATGTTAGTGATATACAACTCAATTTGTTAAATTTTTCGCTACATTGAAGTAATCAACCGTTGCTTTATGGGATATTAGATTATCAATATTTACAGTGATTTGTTCGGTTTGTTCAGTTGCCATGGTTGGTTGGTCAGCTGGAGTTGCCTCGATTGGCTGTTCTGATATGATATCTTGAGCAGTTTTAATTTCTTTCTTTTCTTCTGGTTTTGTTTCTTCGGTCAGCTAAAAGAATTTTTTACGTGTTTTTGATTATAGAAATCTCATTTTCAATACTCGTACTTGTTCTTCAATTGTTTCAATACGAGTGATTTCTTCCGTGCTTGTGTCCACAGTAGGTGTCGGCGTTTTTTCTTCCACTGTTCCGGTTACAGTCAGAGTTTCTTCTTCGATTTCTTTCGTTATTTTCAATTCAGGCGCTTCTTCTACGACCTGCGATGGTTACAAAAACATCAAAAGTATATTTTCGATATAAAAAAAATGTGACGTATGTTTACAATGTTTTCATCCTCTTCAAACTTTTCCGTAACAGTTGGCAATTCAATAGGTCCTGATTCTTCAGCAGTCAACATTGTTTTGATTGCCGGTTTTTCTTCATCTATCGTTTCCTCTGTCTTGGTTATTGTTGTGGTGATTTCCGGTAACTGTAACAATATAGAAGAGTTAAATGATATCTCCGAGAGATTTTAAAAATAGCTTCTATTGGTAATTAGTTACACGAGCGGTTTCCGAACAATACTTACTTCTTCCGTTTCTTTTTCTATAACTTCGATATCGACGACTTCCGGTTTCTTTCCCGGTTCAATTACGATAGTTTCTTCTTCCACTTCTTCCATGACGTTCACTGTTTCTTTTGATTCTTCTTTTTCCTTCACTTGCAACACCACAATGGGAGGTGTATTCAATATCAAATGATCCGATTTCAGTGTATAAACACCTTCATCTACTTTGGGACGAAGATCTGTTACTACAATTGTATATTTATTATCTTCAACAATAGTTGAAATTCGATCATCAGGTTTAAGACGTTTTTCATTTCGTAAAAATTCGAATCTTTCTTCAGGTGTAGAATCAAATTCACATGTGATAGTCAATGTTTCTCCTTCGTTAAACGTTGTTTGAGATATATTCATTGTTTGCTGAACAACTGGTTTAGGAATAACTTTCAGTCGTATAACTGGTTGTTCCTTTTTATCAATGAGAACGCTATATTTTCCTTCATCTTGAGGTTTAGCTTTAATTATTTGAATTTCGATAGTTGTTGGTGATGTTTCCGTGATTTTGATACGTTCTGAAGGTTTCACAGGTCGCTTGTCTTTGAGTAGTATTATTATTTTATGCGTTATACCTTCCGGCATTTGTACTGTCAACGTAACAGTAGTACCTTCTTCAACTTCCTGAATTGGGAATTCGACTTCTTCTACAGGCTAAACAACGGAATGTGCGGCGTGCGATATTTAGAATAATGATATAAGTAGTCTTACCTTTATCTCTTCTGGCATTCGCGGTACTTCTTCTACTTCTTCAACGACTGTTTGCGGTTGTTCTTTTTCGGTAACAACTGTAACCGTTTCTTCTTCTACAGTCGTTCTTTCTGTTTTAGGTTTCTTTTCTTCAGGAACAACAGTAACGGACGGTGTATCGAGAATCAAATGATCTGATTTAAGTGAATAAACACCTTCATCTTCTTCCAGACGAAGATCTTTTACAACAATTGTATATTTATTATCTTCTACAGTAGTAGTGACACGAGAATCTGGTACAATTGGTTGTTCATTGTGTAGAAAGGTGAATGGTTCTTCAGGTGTACCATCAAATTGACAAACAATAGTAAGTGTTTCTTTTTCATTGAATTGTACTTTTGGTAATTGTATTTCTTGTCGAATAACAGGTTTCGGGTGAACTTTAAGTCGCACAAGTGGTTGTTCAACACCTTCGACTTCAACTGTATAATCGCCTTCATCTTCTGGTTTCACTTTGATAATTTGAATTTCCGTTGTTGTTGGTGATGTTGGAGTAACTTTTACATGATCGGAAGGTTTTAATTCTTCTCCATCTTTAAGTAAGACGACATCCTCTTGTTTAGTAGCCTGACGTTTTTCAATAGTTAGTGTTACAGTACTTGTTTCTTCGACTTCATGTACGGGTAATTCTTTTTTCGGCGTCTATGAACAAACGAATTTTATTGTATTAACAGATACTGTACTGTATTTCGGATTTGAAAAAATAAACAAGCCTACCTCCTTCTTTTCTAGTTTCGGTTGTTCCTCTTCCGTTACTGTTGTGACAGTCACTTCTTCTTCTTCGATAGTTGTCCTTTCAGTTTGTGGCTTCTTTTCTTCAGGAACAACAGTAATTGACGGCGTGTCAAGAATCAAATGATCCGATTTAAGTGTATAAACACCTTCGTCTTCCTCTGGGCGAAGATGTTTTACAACAATTGTATACTTATTATCTTCTACAGTAGTAGTGACACGAGAATCTGGTATAATTGGTTGTTCATTGTGTTGAAAGGTGAATGTTTCTTCAGGTGTAGAATCAAATTCACATATGATAGTCAATGTTTCTCCTTCCTTAAACGTTGTTTGAGGTATATCCATTTTCTGATGAACAACTGGTTTAGGAATAACTTTCAGTCGTATTATTGGTTGTTCTTTTTTATTAATGAGAACGCTGTATTTGCCTTCATCTTGCGGTTTCGCTTTAATTATTTCGATTTCGATAGTTGTCGGTGATATTTCCGTGATTTTGATACGTTCTGAAGGTTTGACTGGCTGCTTGTTTTTCAGTAGTATTATTATTTTATGTTTTGTACCTTCAGGTATTTGTACTGTTAGAGTAACAGTAGTACCTTCTTGAACTTCTTGAATTGGAACTTCGACTTCTTCTTCAGGCTAAACAACGGAATGTGCGGCGTGCGATATTTAGAATAATGATATAAGTAGTCTTACCTTTATCTCTTCTGGCATTCGCGCTACTTCTTCTACTTCTTCAACGACTGTTTGCGGTTGTTCTTCTTCGGTAACAACTGTAACCGTTTCTTCTTCTACAGTCGTTGTTTCTGTTTTAGGTTTCTTTTCTTCAGGAACAACAGTAATGGACGGTGTATCGAGAATCAAATGATCTGATTTAAGTGAATAAACACCTTCGTCTTCTTCCGGACGAAGATCTTTTACAACTATTGTATATTTATTATCTTCTACAGTAGTAGTGACACGAGAATCTGGTACGATTGGTTGTTCATTGTGTAGAAATGTGAATGGTTCTTCAGGTGTACCATCAAATTGACAAACAATAGTAAGTGTTTCTTTTTCATTGAATTGTACTTTTGGTAATTGTATTTCTTGTCGAATAACAGGTTTGGGATGAACTTTAAGTCGCACAAGTGGTTGTTCAACACCATCCACTTCGACTGTATAATCGCCTTCATCTTCTGGTTCCACTTTGATAATTTGAACTTCTGTTGTTGTTGGTGATGTGGGAGTAACTTTTACATGATCCGATGGGTGTAACTCTTGTCCATCTTTAAGCAAGATGACGTCTTCTGGTTTCGTAGTCTGAGGTTTCTCAAGAGTTAGCGTTACAGTACTTGTTTCTTCGACTTCGTGTACAGGTAATTCTTTTTTCGGTGTCTATGAACAAGCGAATTTAAGTGTATGAATAGGTGCTACACAGCATTCCTAATGCGGAAAAAACGGAAGCCTACCTCTTTCTCTTCTGCTTTTGGTTGTTGCTCTTCTGGCACGGTTGTGAGAGTTACTTCTTCTTCTTTGACAGTTGTCGTTTGAGTTTGTGGTTTCTTTTCTTCAGGAACGACAGTGATTGATGGTGTATCAAGAATCAAATGATCGGATTTAAGTGAATAAACACCTTCATCTTCTTCCGGACGAAGATCTTTTACAACAATTGTGTATTTATTATCTTCTACAGTAGTAGTGACACGAGAATCTGGTACAATTGGTTGTTCATTGTGTAGAAATGTGAATGGTTCTTCCGGTGTACCATCAAATTGACAAACAATAGTAAGTGTTTCTTTTTCTACAGGTTTTGGTGTCTCTTCTTCTG